AAAAAGCAGCAGCAAATCAAGCAGCAGCAGCAGCACCACCAACAAAAATAACAAAAGTAATTAAAATAATAAAATAAATATAATAAAAATAATAAAATAAAAAAACAAAAAAAATAAAAATAAAAAAATAAAAATAAAAAACAAGAAAAACAATAAAAACAACAAAAAATAAAAACAACAAAGACAACGCTACTAAAACAAATAAAGACAAAACCAATAAAAGCAAAAAAAAAACAAAAAAAAGAAGAAAGACAAAGACAAAGACAAAGAGAACAAAGACAAAGACAAGGAAAATAAAGACAAAGACAAAGGCAAAGACAAGAAAAATAAAGACAAAGACAAAGACAAAGATAGTAAAAACAAAGACAAAGACAAAGACAAAGACAAAGACAAATACAAAGACAAAGACAAGGAGAATAAAGACAAATACAAATACAAAGACAAAGACAAGGAGAGTAAAGACAAAGACAAAGACAAAGATAATAAAAACAAAGACAAAGACAATAAAAACAAAGACAAAGACAAAGACAAAGACAAGGAGAATAAAGACAAAGACAAAGACAAAGACAAAGATAATAAAAATAAATACAAAGACAAAGACAAAGACAAGTCGACGAACATGTTTAGTTTGGTGAGCAGCAAGACAAGGGCTGTGTGTGTCTCTGAGCATCGCATGCAGCTGCTGATTTGTCTCCTTTATCTGTCTTTCTATTTCCAGCAACGAAGACAAATCCACAGACAAAGAAGGAAATAAACGCAGCACCTGCACAGCAGCAGCAGCAGCAGCAGCAGCAGCAGTAGCAGTAGCAGTAGCAGCAGCAGCAGCAGTAGCAGCAGTAGCAGCAGCAGTAGCAGCAGCAGCGGGAGGAGGAGCGGGAGGAGTAGCAGCAGAACAGCAGCAGTAGCAGCAGCAGCAACAGCAGTAGCAACAACAGCAGCAGCAGTAGAAGCAGCAGCAGCAGCAGTAGTAGTAGTAGTAGCAACGGCAGCAGCAACAGTGCGAGTAGCAGCAGCAACAGCAGCAGCAACGCCAGCAGCAACAGTGGTAGTAGCCGCAGCAGCAGCAACCAGTAGCAGCAGCAGCAGCAGCAGCGGCAGCAGCAGCAGCAGCAAATAGCAGCAGAAGCAGCAGCAGCAGAAATAAATAACAGCAGCAGAGAAGCGGACGCAACGGACCACAACAGCAGCAGCAGCAACAGCAACAGCAACAGCAGCAGCAGCAGCAGCAGCAGCAGCAACTAACAACAACTAAAGCAGCCACATAAACTAAGAACAGCAGCAGCTGCTGCGAAAACAACAGCAGCAGCAACTAGCACCGACAGCAGCAGCAACAGCAACAGCAGCAGCAGCAGGAACAGTAGCAACAGCAGAGGAACAGCAGCAGCAACAGCAGCAGCAACAGCAACAGCAACAACAGAAACAGCAGCAACAGCAACAGCAGCAACACCAACAGCAGCAACAGCAACAGCAGCAACAGCAGCAGCAGCAGCAGCAACAGCAGCAACAGCAGCAACAGCAGTATTTACAGTTTCGGGTATATCTGATATACTAAATGTTTGCTGCCGCTTTCGCTGCAGTGATCTCCTTTGCTGCTGCTGCTGCTGCGGTGCTGCTGCTGCTGCGCT